CCCCAAAACCCCAAAACCCCAAAACCCCAAAACCCCAGCAAGGTAAATAAGATTTATTTTGGTTGAAATAAGAGTAAACATCTAAAATACTAAACAGTTTATTTTATTCTTAGCTCTAAAATTTAACCTAGTATAATATTTTAAGGAATACATATATTGCTAATAAAAGTCTATGAAACAAGATATTCTACAGTGTTGTGTTACTACTTTAAAATAGGTTCATTGGACGATTTTCCAAAGTCCTCTGAACTTTTACTTCTTGCGTTTCTTACGATATGTAACTGCCGGCTTGAATTCTTTTATTATAAAAACGTTTTCGTTTATAATTTTACCTTTGTTGCGAAAATTCTATCTGGCTGTCTCAGTTTGAACCATCAGACTGTTTTTCTTCTTAAGAAGATCTTTGTAAAGGGGATTGTAGTAGAAAAATTCTTAGTTTAAAGTTTCATTTAAGATGTACTATTTTTTGGAAAAAGACTTTGTTTGCTTCACTTTCTTACAGAAATCATCGTATTAGTCTTCATTCTAATATGAGAGTCCCTTAATCATTTTCTTTTAAGATTCAATAGAAGGTTTTTATCCAATTTCAGATATGAACTGCTGTGTTTCTTCTATGAATCTTCCCTTAACTTTTAGATTCATTAATTATCTTATAAAAAGCTGCTTGTTATCAAGTTCTTCCTTAGTGATCTAATTACCTGGCTTCAGATGTATCTCAAGATCTTCATTATAGCTTTTTTTCAACTATGCAAGTTAAACAACTTATTACAAGCTCAATTTAGAATCTTTTAAACTGACTGTGCTAGACTTATCATTAGACTTCTTTCTTTAAGGAGTTCTCTTAGGTCTTTGAATGCTTGGTTGTTTAATTAGATAATTTTATGATTTTTTAATGCCTTTGTTAAAATAATTACTTCCAGCTGAAGTTGGTGTTTTAAAACAACAAAATAACCTGCCGAAAAAACCTTTGCTTTCTGTCCTGCTAGTCTAGGGACCACAGCCTTATTATTATTCTGGTTATTAATCCTCTATACTATATTTATTGTAAGTTATATCACTATTAGATTCAATTGGTTTTAAGCGATGAAGTTTATTTGGATTTGCATGCAGCTCAATCATCTTTGGTATAGGATCATAAAAGTGAAAAGCGGATGGAAGCTTAGATACTTTTAAATCATCTGGAATCTTGGAGAACCCCTTTTGCTACAAAGCTTTGATGAAATTGAATTTACTTAGCTTTTACTTTCTTTATAATATTCTAAGCTTATGCAATCCCTTGACTACTTAAAGAGATTTAAGGATCATTATTGTTTTGAGAGTATGCAAGCTATTCTTTGCGTTTGAGTGTGTTTTGTAATTCTTCTAAAAGAATTCTTCCTCATCAAAAGATGATTCTTCTGAGATTATTCTCAAATCTATTTCAGCATTTTGTCTTGGAACAAGAAACACATCTTTCTTGATAAATGAATCAGAATGATCCTCTTATTAATCTTCAATGGCCTATCCAAATCCACTTTTTGGATTTGTAGTTTTTTATCTTCTAGAAGGACTATTAATAATACTTGATTTGAATGTCAGATTTTCTTCTAATTCTAACGGCTCTTCATCCAAATTTTTCTCTTTCAAATTCTTTTTATAAACTTTTATTATTGAGCCAATAAATAATTCCTAAACAGACATTGCTTTTCTACATGCCTCATAGGAAATTTTCATCTTTATTCTTAAAAATTTGTAAAGGACTATAGAAAAGTAAGATAATGAAATTATTAGAATTTTATAATTACTCATAGGGTTTTTCTGATATTTTTCATTTAATAACTAGAGTACGAAGGTATTTATTTCAATTTCCTCATCATGTTCATCGCCTTAAACCTATGACTTTAGAAATAAAAAAAGAAAATATTATGTACTCTAAATGTTTGCATTTTCAGAAAGCTCTAAGATCTGATTGCTGGACTTTATGATAATTATGGAAATGTTTATGTCTTGCAGAGACTGCTTGCAAAATTATTGAATTACGGGTAAGATTGTGGGGTTTCTTGAGAGTTAATTACTGTATTCCTTATAGGTTATAATGTTATTAATTATGCAACTTGTTTTCTCATCGGTTTTTTAATTGTCTTAAGTAGATTATTGTATTCTATCAAAGACTGGACAACCATAATTAATTGTATTAATTTTGACTCGTCACTGATTGCAAAATCTAGTGTTCTGTCACCAACTATTAAGCTTACGCATTACCAAGCATAAAATGGCGCTCTTATATGATGGTTGTTAATATCTTTCAGTATTTTTTGTCTATATCTAAGAAATGTTGAACTTTAGGCTCCAAATATAATCCCCTTGATCGTATCCAAATCACCTAAAATCAAGTTTAAAACAAGGATAAATTATATACATCGCCCTATTTTGTCCTTATGATTTACTCCAACTTGTTTGTGATGGTATATCCATTTGATATATTTAAGAGTTGGTGATAGTAATAATGTACATTTATCTTGATGCTACTTAGAATAATGGAATTTCTCTGCAGGTATTCCGTGTGCAAGTGTTATGAGTGAATCCTTGAAATCCTCTTCAAAGTTGTAGGTTTCTGTTGTCAGATGATCATGATTATCTTAATCTTGATCTGAAACCACTTGTCCTAAGTTCAATTTGATCTCCTCCATTTCTGTCTCTAAAGGATTCAATTCTAATTTAATTCTATCCTTTGATTACGATACAGATGTTATGTTTATTGATTATATGCTTTCAGAATTTTGCTCTCTAAAAAAGATTAAACTAAATAAATTTACGAAATCTTGATATCTGGATTAATTGACTGTATTGGTATCTTAGGTTTTACGAAACTGTTATAATTTTATAATGTCATTGATTAATGTGTGCTAACCAAATCATTACTCTTAAAACTTGCAGTGTAGTTATTGTTCATCCATTGATCTATCAAAGATTCAGTCTTATGATCTTTTATATCATGTTGGTTCATCTTAATTAACTTGGCATAGTTAATTGTATTTTTTAATTAGTCCGTAACATCAGTTGTAGTTTTTCTTAAAAAATTTGGATCCTTTCGCTTAAGAAGGATTTTAGCCTGATTTGTTACCGTTGGAATCTGTAAGTTAAATGGCCTAGATTATTCGTGTAATTGACGATATAACTAAACTTTTTAATTGCTTCCTTAATTAGTTTTAATACTATTATTTCCAGGTCGTAAGTCGATAGTTTCATATCCTGATCTGAGAACATCTCTTCCTGTAGCTGTGGAAGCACCTTCATTTGATAATAAATAACTAGGAGTAAATGTCTCCCTCAATTCAGCCCTATCCTAATTTTATTCAAAATAGTTTGGATTTAGAAATCTGATAGCTTTGATATTGCTTCCGTTCTCTCCCTGATTTCTTTTAATTAAATGTAGTTTTGTAGATTAATAATCTAATGTCCTCTACCTATTGATGTTGTTAATATCGATTTCAGAAAGTTTCTCTAATTCTTGCAGTTTATTTTATACTACCTGCAACTTCCTATGGTTGTTCTTGAAGCTGGATATAAGTGATTTGTGTGGTTTAGATCCAGGAATGAAACTCTTGCTGTACTCAATATCAATTTAATATTGTTGGGTTAAATTTTCATCTAATTCCCTTTCATCAGATTTTTCTCAGAATGAGCTTTCATCTTCATTTTTTTCATTTTTCTCTAAGATCGCACCTTCAAATGATGGCTTGATAATATTTGTCTCTAGTTAAAATCAATTGAAATAAATTTTTTACTTGGAATATCAAAGACCAGAGATTCGTCGTCTGAGATGTTATAATCCTAACTGGTTATATTACTTCTGGACTTCATCCTGCTTTAAATAATAAGATTATTGCTATCCTCAGTATAGATAGTGTCCAGTCTTTATCTTAGTTTTGTTTCAAATTTAATTGGCTGCTTTTGAAAAATTTATCTGCATTTTTCAGACATTTTATTTTCTAAAATGTTAATCTTAAAGCACTCTAGAATTTTTCTAAAATATTTATCATTCCAAAGGAATTTAGTTTATTTTTAATACTTAATATTATTTGTTATTCATTTATTACAGTACGAATGTTGAATCATGGGGTTTTGGGGTTTTGGGGTTTTGGGGTTTTGGGGTTTTGGGGTTTTG